GCGAGGAGCGAGAGCGCAGGGAGCCCCCCAGCCGAGAGCGGCCCGGGCCCGGCTCCCCGGGAGGGACGGCCCGCTCTCTCTACCCCCGAGGCCGGAGCTCTCACTCCCGGGGCAAAGAAGTGGGCTTACCCCCCCACACCTCCTCCCCCCAACACCTCCTCCTCCGGGAGGCCGTGATCCAGGCCCCGGGGCGGGCACCTCGCGTTCCTCCCTCTCACCCACCGATGACTTTCTTCTCCCCGGGGGATTTGGGTTTGTCCGGCTGCTGCTGCTGCGGCGGCGGCGGCTGCTGCTGTGGTTGCTGTTCGGGTTGCTGCTCTGTCTCGGCCTCGCTCATGATGTTGTCAGGCTGCCTGCGGGATGGTAGTACAGTCGGGCCGCTCTCGGCTGGGGGGCTCCCTGCGCTCTCGCTCCTCGCTCTCCGCTCCGCTCCGCTCCTCTCGCTCTCCCGCTGCTGAAAGAACATGGCCGCCCTCTCGCGAGAATTTCAAATAAATACCGCCTCTGGGCCCGCCCACTCCACCCGCTCCCATTGGTCGGACCCTCGTCCTTCCCACTCTCTATTGGCCAGATCGCTGTTCATCTGTTCCCCTCGCCCCATCCCACATTCCACCAGTAACGGCCGTAATTGGCGCGGCGTTCCAGAATACACGTTCTATTGGTTTGCGCCCCTGTCCATTGTCCATGACTGACACCCATTGTCCGGGCTAGCGCCCGCCCATCGGGTCTTCCGATTGGTCGCTCGCCGGCCTCATCCCGCCCGCTCTGCGGTATCATTGACAGAAGCGGGCAGGTGAGGTGCTGTCAATCACAGAGTGAGCCCTGTTCACTGGGCACCTCTTGTAAAGGCTGTGCCTCTCGAAGCGTGTACCAGAGCAGCCATGGTCACTTAGCACCTTCCTGCATCCAGCAGAAACATGGACCATACGCAGCACAGACCTCACATCAGTAGCAGCGCTGCCTCTGCACTATCCTGCCGCCGTAGAGACCTTAAAGGACTACCAAAGAGAAAGAAATCACTTTAAAACTGATGTTATCCTATTCATTCCAAGGCTCCCTGCACTCCTCAATCGTGTCGACCTCTCGGAGTCCCACAAAATTATTCTAGAAAGCTGTGTAGAAAAACCTTGCTTCAAAGTCTTCCACGCTGTTACACTACGTGACTTCAAGCTTTACATTCTAGCACATCTTGCCCATTTTAGCATTGATCTACAATGGTTCACCACACCTACTGTTCCACTTTTGTCCAAATCAGACATCACACCACACCTGGTTATAGGCCAACTGTGGATTTACTTGAAATTACAAACTTTCAGGGTGTAGCCCCTTGGTCTGGTGAAGGGAAAGAGAAGCACACAGAATTTATGGGCAGGGAGATTAAAACACCATACAAATAGTGTGACTGGAGTGTCGAACAATAATTCTCTGCAGGCGATCCGAATAACAAGCAAAGGGATGACCTATAATCCTATTAAATGAGGCAGAGAGATACTTACAAAAAGTTAAAAATAAGGTGGTGCTGGAGGCAAAATAAGAAGCACCGAAAGCTTGTGATTTCAAATAAACCTGTTGGACTATAACCTGGTGTCGAGTGATTTTTGACTTTGTCCACCCCAGTCCAACACCGGCACCTCTACATCACCAATTTTGTCAGCCATGATCTACCACCACCCTTGGAACACCTTTTCTGAACACATATGCAAAGAAATAATTTTTATATGGGACCCTTTCAAAAATGCAGAATGTTTGGCTATGTAATAAATGAGTTTAAAGTTATGGAAAGATGGTAAAGGATGGATAGGAAATTTACCAATCTTCTTGAATACTGGTATCATATTAGCAGTCCTCCAGTCCTCTGGTACCACACCTGTGGTAAGAGATGATTTGAAAATTAATGCCAGAACCTCTGCAATTTCCTCTTTTGTGTCTCTGAGGCACGGTGTCCCAGTGGTCAGCACCATTGCTTCATAGCAACAGGGACCCAGATTCAATTCCACCCTTGGGCAAACTCCACACAGACAGGTACCTATTTTCCCCATGTCTGTGTGTGTCCCCTCTGGGTGCTTCAGTTTCCTCCCACAGTCCAAAGGTTAGGCTACTTCTGGAATACTGCATGCAATTTGGTTTCCCTGCTATAGGAAGGATGTTGTGAAACTTTACTCAGAGAGTAGTAAGGGCGTGGAATGCCCTGCCTGCAAAAGTAGTAGACTCGCCAACTTTAAGGGCATTTAAATAGTCATTGGATAAACATATGGATGATAATGGAATAGTTTAGGTTAGATGGGCTTCAGATTGGTTTCACAGGTCAGCGCAACATTGAGGGCCGAAGGGCCTGTACTGCGCTGTAATGTTCTATGTTCTATGAATGGTTCAGAAAAGATTTACAAGGCTGTTGCCAGATTTGGAGGGCGTGAGCTATAGGGAGAGGCTCAAAAAGCTGGGGCTATTTTCCTGGAGCATTGGAGGCTGGGGGGCGTGACCTTCTAGAGGTTTATAAAATTATGAGGGGCATGGATAGGGTGAATAGAAAAGATCTTTTCCCAGGGGTAGGAAAGTCCAAAACTAGAAGGCATAGGTTTAAGGTGAGAGGAGAAAGATTTAAAAGGGACCTAACTAAGGGGCAACTTTTTCATGCAGAGGATGGTGTGTGTATGGAATGTGCTACCAGAGGAAGTGGTGGAGGCTGGTACAATTACAACATTTAAAAGGCATCTGGATGGGTAAATGAATAGAAAGGGTTAGAAGGAATATGGGCCAAATGCTGGAAAATGGGATCAGATTAATTCAGGATATCTGGTTGGCATGGACAGTTTTGACTGAAGGGTCTGTTTCCATGCTGTACAGCTCTATGACTCTATGATTTTATGTGTAAGCTAGGTGGATTAGCTATGGGAAATGCAAGGTTACAGGGATAGGTTAAAGAGTGGGTCTGGGTGAGATGTTCTTCAGAGGGTCAGCATGGACTCAATGGGCCGAATGGTCTGCCCTCCACACAATAGGGATTCTATGATTCTATCTCATATGGGCCTTGGTATGTAACCACTAAAAACCACCAATATTTTCACCATCTCAATGCTAATTCTTTCAACTATATGACAGGCCCTGTTCCTGATACCTTGTTGTCCTTCAGTGGTGTGAATACAGATGCAAAGTACGCATTTTAAAAAAGGCAGGCAGAGACTAGCGTGCACTGACCAGTGGTATGTGTTCTCTC